CCCCCATAAGTGGTCATACTATATTTTGAAGTATGTGTCACTGCCCTCCCCCTTTATATATGATAAAGGGAACCTGAGAATTGTGAACAGACTCCCCCCAGGTCTAATCATCTTTTGGCAGAAGCATTCAACAGAACAAAATATGTGGTGCATTTATGATGTCGGTCCTCTTGTGCATGCTGCCACTGTTAAGGTCATCAGACTCACAGTGACTTTCAGCAATCCATTGCATAGGTAATCATCCTCTTTGGCCTGTCCAATGCATAGGTAATTGTCCTCTTTGGCCTTTCCAATACATAGGTAATTGTCTTCTTTGGCTCATTTCTCCTTGAATTCCTCTTGTTGAGCCTCAATCTTCACTGAGGGCCAGTCATCAACTGTTTAAGTGTTCAATTATCAATAAGCTGAAGTCTGTGGAAGGCCATAATGGCCCTGCTTTAAGTGGTTGGCTGCTCCTGCAACTCACCACGCTGTCTCTGCCTCTGCCGCCATCTTGGATCTCCCAAATACATTGTTTTTAAGAACAAATTCTTTGAATTTCCCTCACCCCACCCTCATCACACTGTACAACCCCATGATTAATCCCCCCTTCCCCTACACATCCTCATCCCTCTGCAACCACCCTCTCTCAACCCTCTTGGATTCTTATCCTCATTCTACAATTATGGTTTTATACAATATTTATTCTTGTGGGACTGAGTTAGTTCACTTAGCATAATGCTCTCCAGTCCCTCCCAAGTTAGGTAACAATCTACAAAAATCATTGCTCCTGCATGCTGCGTAGTATTCTACTGTGTGAATGTAGCATAATTTGATATAAAAAAATTTAACTACTGTCAGCTGTAGCGAATTCTTAGGATTTATTTGAAATTAATTCACAATATGAATTAAAAAAAGGCGTAAGTCTAGAATGTAAAGCTATAAAAGAGATGACTACTTTTAAATAATATTATAGAAATACCTCTGTCTTCCATAAACTTATAAAGCTGTTGGAGGAAGTTGTCCCTCTCTTCAGGATCAAGTTCTTCCTCAGGCTGCAATGAGAAAACATATAAATACATAGAGAATAGTCTTTTTTTTGTTTGCTTTGTACTTTTGCTAAGGACATAAAATTTTAACATAAATGAAACACTGGAAATTTTCTCAAAATTCTAAAATGCTTAAGATATTCACCATTCTACAATTCTTAAAGTAGGAAGTCATATCTTAATCCAATTTTTATTAATTTTTTATTAATATAAAACAAGGATTACAAAATCCAAGTAGCAACTTAATTTTGCTTAGATGACAGTATTTTAAAGACACTCAAATATACTGAAGGGATTCATATAAATTCTATTTGGCCTTAGATTTTTATCATCTCCTTTTGTGTCATGTCCCCATGCTATTCTCATTTGCCTTTCCTGCCTGATCCACCATGAGAACAATGGGCAATCTCCTGTGCGATTTATTGCCTCTGAAAACCTGTTGGAGGGTCAGCTATGAATCAGTTCTGACTTGACAATACCAAAGAACAATTATTCTATGTTATACCAGAAAAGTTATAATTTGTCCTTTCAGTCATATCTAAAGCAATACCAGACAGTGAATACTAAGTGTTCACTATCTAGAAACATGACAATACACTCTTTAAAATTAATGGAATTCCAAAATCTCTGTAGATGTTCATTGAAATGAAAAATAAACAAACTAAATTAAAATTCAAGAAAAAAATTAAGGCAATACACAATGTGGAGTTGATTAAACATTATAATTAATTACATTAACAATAATTAATGCTATAAAACAAAATGTGAATGACTGCATGAAAAGTCAATGATCTGTAAACCTTCCCTTAAATAAATAAGTAAAATCACCTACTTTTAAGAATTTTAATCATTAATGATACAGCTTGGCTATATAAGTGATTAATTTAAATAAATATAAAACGCTGAGGTGATCAAGGGAAAGGGGGACAGAGATCCTTGACTCCACTCCCACCAGCACTGTTCATTCTTCCACTATGTATCTGTACATTTATATATTGACAACTCTCACCATACTGTTTCCAATTGACTCTACATCCCCTGCTGGACCTAAATAAGGTCAAGGGCAAAATGTGAAAACATAGACAGCTTAGTGAAAGCTGAAATTAGGAAAAGACTTTTTACGAAGTTTAAAATTCTGAACCTGATACTTTGGATAGATGTGATGCTTGATAGAGACAGAGTTCTGAGTTTTATAAAGTGCTTCAACAAGAAAAAGTTTGATAGATTAAAAGGTTTGGAAAGGTGGTATTACAGCAGTCCTTGAGGAGGAAGACAAAAGACTGAATTTAGTCTTGTCACCTAGTGATGGAAAAGCTATGCCATGGAAAGAGGATGAATTGGTAGAGAAAGAGCGAGACGGAAGGGGCTGGAGCTGAAATTTGCTTAAGTCATTCATGCTTACAGTCTTCAAAGATCCAATATACTGTAAACACTCAGTAATTTCCATAAGGGGAAGGTCCATGCCTATATGACTCTCAATTTTATCTCTAATCATTGGCATCCAGTTTAGATAATTCTGTCATGGCTTTGAAATTGACATCGGTGGAAAAAAGTACAACTTTTCCTCAGTTGTTTCATATTCATTCATTTTAAAGGGTAATAAACAAATCCTATTCTTATCACTTCAACTCACAGTAAACCTACAGGACATAGAAGAACAGCTCATAGCATTTCCAAGGCTGTAAATCTTTACAAACTGTCTCAACCTTTATCCCATGATGAAGCAGCTGATGGGTTTGAACCATTGACTTGAATGTTAGCAGCTAAGTGCTTTAACCTCAGAACCTTAAAGGCTAATATTAGTGATAATATAAATGTAATAAATAAAAGGCAAACAAAACAGAAGAAGAAAGGAGAGCTGAGGATGATTTTAGAAAAAATTGTTGTCACATATCTCACTGCCTAGAACTCTTCTTTTCCTAAATGAATCTGAAAATGAATGCAATTCACTGAGAAATCGCATAAATTAGCATGGAAAATAAGACTGTCATTTTATTGAAAACTGTGTAACAAAACAAACATTTTGTTTCTCTTTCTAATTAGACAATATCTTGTTTTTGCTAAGCTACTAACTTCATCTAGCAACTCTACTATCCAGAACATACAATGTGTCTGAAAGGTCAAAATGCATGCCATGAACATTACACAGGCTTCTTAGACACTGATGCAACTTGCATACAGCTCTAAAGAGTGAGTTAGCAGTTTCTCAGCACCTAAAAGACTAATGTTACAAAAACTGCCCTTGGAAGAGTAGGAGAAAATTGTAATTAAATATCTATCTTTTGCTTTTCTATACCATACAAAGAACATAAAAGTCATCTTTTGCTGATGAGGATTTTATCTCTCAAGAACTATCAACCAAAAATTCACTGCTCTCAAGTTGCTTCTGACTCATGGTGACACTCCATTGGATTTCCAAGGTTAGAAATCTTTGTAGGGGACACTCATCTTTCTCCTTTGGAGTGGCAGTTGAATTCAAACAACTATTTTTGATCAAGTCCAAGTAACAAGCCCAACTTGTTACTCTCTACATTACCAGAGCCTTAAGAGCCCCTACAGATATCTTTAAAAACTTATCCATGACTACACCACACCCCAAAGCCTCACTTTGGCTGTTTTTCATTCCCATGAATGATGCTTTCCCCACTTCCCCCAATGTCAAAACACAAGAGGGTTTTTTTGGTGTGAAATGTTATTTTGGATAGTAACAGCTCCATTCACTATTCTTGCTGTTCTTTATATAAATTGCTGGCTGAACAACTTCATCAGCTACACCTTCTTACTCCATGATTGACACTATCACAAGTCCCACAACTCTTCTCATGATGTCTTAGTTGCTTGCTCTCCCTCTCCATTCTCTCGGAGCTGCCATGAAGTCAGTGCACACTTCCTGCAACCCCACAACACTCACCATCAAATCGTTTCTGACTCTCACCAACCTCATGGGTACAGAATAAAACTGCTTTCATAGAGTCTTCATAGCTGTGACCTTTGGGAAATGTCAGGCAAGTTGTCTCTGGATGGATTTCAACTGCCAACATTTTGGCTAGCAGTTGAGTGCGTACTTTTTTGTAGCAGCCAATGAATTCAATACCACCTCAGAAAATGAAAAGGAAGTGGCTGAGTGAGGAGGCAGCAGGAGGCAGTCTTGGACTTGGCCTTAGGGGAAGTGTTAGGATAGCTGAGAGTGCCAACCATTAGTGTGTAACAAGCCACTTTATGAAGCTGACCAGAAACAAGGCGGAGTTGAAGAACAGCAAGAAGGGCATCCAGGGATCCCTGGTGGTACAGTCCCTAACATGCTGCACTTCTAACCAAGACACTCATCACAAGCGGTGGCTCCAAGGGTGCGCTGAGCCAGAGAGGAAACACGAAGGAAGCGGCTGTACTGGAAGATGCTTACACATTTTTCCATAAAGTTTTGAATTTCTGAAAAATTATTATTTAAATATATTAAATTTGTTATGTCATTATTTAAAAATGTTAAATAAATACTAAAACAACTGACTAAGGTAAATGCAGCAAAGTTGTACAAGGACTCTTTGTCCCTATACACAAGCTTGTTGGGATTTTTTTAAGTTTTTTTTTATCATTTACCTTATTTTCTGACTTTTTAAAAACTTTCATTTTATGTACCTTATTATATTTAATCCATATTATATTTACTACCCGATGGCAAAGTGCATTCTAAGTTGTGCTGCTAAAGAAAATGTCAATGGTTGGAATTCACCAGGAACTTGGGGCAAAGATGAAGAGTCTCTTCCTGGACAGAATTACAGGCCTGGAAACCCAACCAAAGAGTCTCCTCAGTCAGAATCAACTCCACTGCACTGGATTTGGGTTTTGTGTATTATATTTAATAGCAATAAAGGAAATAAACAACATAAGGACGACAGTCAGTATAATATGCCTTATATCAAACAGCTTCTGATTAACTTTTTGGAAGTTAGGGAAAAACTAATTGCCATCAAGTTGGAATTGACTCATAACCGACCCTCCATCCAGCAGGTTTTTCAGAGGCTGTAAACTACACAGGAGAAGACAGCTCATCTTTCTCCAGCGAGCTGCAGGGGGATTCGAACTGCCGAGAGCCGCTCCCTTTGAGTCAGCAGCACAGCTCCTCGTGGCCAAGGCCACCAGAGCTCGCTGTGAGATGTCAGAACAGAGCTAGAAGTTGAATACTGCTGGAGAGTAGTGAAGTGAAGGACAGAAAAGCAGGCATGGGTCAAACCATAAAGGGTCAGAGTCATAAAGACCTCTAACAGCCAGGCCTTTTTCCATAGACATTAAAAGCCATTAAAAAAGCTTTCCAGGCGTGCTCTGGTGGCCTAGTGGCAAGAAGCTGCACTGCAATCCCAGAGGTGCGCAGTTCAAATCCACCAGATGCTCTGCTGGAGAAGGAGGAACAATCTCCTCCTGTATCAGTTAGATTTGATTTGACGGTGCACACACACAAAATAATAAAAAAGAAAAGAAAATAATTTAAAAAAAAAAATAAAGTTTTCCAGCAGGAACCATTCAGGTTTTAGAAAAATATCTACAGAGAATGCTTTGAGGGGTAAAGAGATTAGAAGGTCAAAGACTAGTAAGATGAAGACACTGAAATAAGTGAAGTAAAATATGAAGGAGTATTATTAGTCAAGAATATTACTGAGATAGGCTATCTTAAAGTTGACTTAAAAAAATGAATTTATAAATTCACAAAAATATGTAAGAAAATGAAATTACCTATAGATTGCACTGCTTGAGAAAATAAGAGATACTATGAAGGAAAATCAGATCACTTCTCCCACAGTTCCTTCCACAGTGAACTTTCTAGAAACGTATAGTAAATATTCCAAAACCTTGTTTCAAACAGTCACTTCACTGGATAACAATATTAGCCTATACTCATTCATGTATTCAGAAACTAGTTGTTATTGTTGTTAGGTCCCACTGAATCAACTATGCCTCACAGTCAGACAAGGAAGCAAATCAAAATCTTGCCTCTCCTCCAGATCTCCACC